TGGGGTCTGGCTGTTCCGAAGCTTACGGAGCTGTGCAGCCTTTTGCAGTTTGTGGCAGTGTGCTCTTGAGAAGCCGAAACATCCCCTCAAAATTTACCCATGCTTTAACAAGCTACTTCGTCCTCGTAGCATCGAAGCACAGCACACAGTACATAATCCACGCCGTGGTCGGTGACATTGGGCCCGAGCTTCCTTGCCAGCTGCACAAGGGTCCGGCCAGCAGTGCATGTCATCCCATTCACACCACCCTAAACCCTAAACCCGAAAACTCCTATGCCGAGGATTTCAGCTTCGTCGTCCATCCGATGCCGTGCTCTATGGGTCCCGACGATGAACTTGAAAGAGGCCCTTGTGGTACTAGTGGGGCTAGTACATCTATTAAACCCTATATATAAACCCTTGGAAACCCTATAAACCTTATACGGGGTTGATTCTCGGGTGGAATGACATACAGAAGTTTCTCTGTAGTTGTTTTTTTGTTTATCGGTAAAGACTTGAAGCTAAGACATTTCAGGGTTTTCCCCATAAACCCCAATGGGCCTGGGAATATATAGAATGCAATATCTTTAATTTACAATCCTACGGAATCCTCCTAAGCCCTTTCGAGCCCTGGTCACCCCAGTCTTGAACCCGCAACACACATGCAAACACTCCACCTAAGCCTCAAGGGAACTGCTTGAGTTTCTAGGAGGGCTCGGGTCGCTGTTGCAGTGAAAGGATGCTTCCGGACTTGTAGGATTGGTCTTGTTGGGTATATATGTCTTATCACATGCACACTTAATATCTGCCAAGAAACACACACATACACACAGTATATATGTTCTCTGAGGATGACAAAAAATTGCAGTCTACATAAGTCTACATAGCACACAAGAGTACATCACCGAGTGTCCAGGTCTGGCTGGACGGATACCGTGGCGACTATACCCGCTGGGATGAGGTTGGGACCAGGATTGTTAGCAGCAGTACCAGTAACTTCCTGTAGTAAAATGCATAAGCAGAGAGTAGCATGCATATACTAATGCCCTGCTGTTCTTGTCGACCCGTAGTACCACTATAGGACCCATTAGAGTAGCAATCGTTTTCATTGTTGTCGTCCTTACTCGGTTACTATAGAACTATACCACAGCACTACTGGGACTGCTGGTACTATATATACGACTATAATACTACATACCACCACCACCACCACCACCATCACCACCACGACTACGACGACCACGAGTACTACTACGAAACATCACCATATATATAAGACTATACATGACGATGTAGACGACTATATAAATACTACTATGACGACTACGACTACGACTACGACTACGACGACCTACTACTACTACTACTACTACTACTATTATACTACTACTACTACTACTGCTACTACTACTACTACTACTACTACTACTTGCTGCTGCTGCTGCTGCTGCTGCTGGTGTTGCTGCTTCTACTACTACTATATATAGTGCTGCTATATACTACTATAATTATTACTACTACTACTCCTCCTCCTCCTGCTGCTGCTTCTACTGTTACTGCTGCTGCTGCTGCTGCTGCTACTACTACTACTACTGCTGCTACTACTACGACGACGACGACTACTACTACTGCTACTAGTATTGTACAACTACTAGGACGATATTTGTAACATGCTGTA